CACCTCTCCACAAAACTGCACGTGCCATCAAAGGATGAATGGAAAGGTTTTAGCACCACCGAGCACAGTACAGTATTGGTAAACAGTTTTAAAAGGAGGCGCTCGTCAGTGCGATGCAGTCCTTTACAAGGGTCCGGATAGTGCCGGTGCTCCTCCTTGTAGTAATTGGTAATGCCTTTGAATCAAAGGGCCCAATAGTCTTATTGAGAGTAGGCTTCCAAAGACAAGGAGACAGCCTGGGAAAAGAGTGCGCGGGCGGCCTGATCAGCCTGTTCGTTTCTCCATAGTCCTTGGTGACCGGGTGCCCAAACCAGATTACGCAGAGTTGGATCAACGTAACGGCAGCTAGGTTCCAGTGTGCGCTGAGCAAGCGGAGAGGCTCACCCTAACTCATAGTTCCGACAGGCCCCTCATGAGTCAGTGATGATATATGTTGAGAAGAAGGATAGGTGAGAGCCAGAGCGGTGGCAATCTCCTCCGCGTGTATTGCGCGGTAGGCTTTGAAAGTGAGCCCGTTTAAGGTGTCTGTGTTGTGTATGACTGCGGCCGTATACCACCTCGCATGGTGCGGGCCAGCAACGTCCAGTAGCACATGTGTTGTTCTTGACAAAAGTGTCGCTGCAACGCTTTCGCGCGCGCCTGGTGGTGACCGCTGTGGTTTTCTCTGGACATTTTGTGGAGAAGGGGTCAGACACGCAGGGCGCGTCTTTAAGGATCTGGCGCCCTCACCCTTTCCTCAATATGATGATCGTCTTTGATGTGTAGCCGGTCTAAGAGGCAGCGATGAGAATGGGTCTGTGCAAGATGCGTGTATTGGTTAACGAGGTGGGCTTCTTGAAGTTAACGGTAGGTATTCACTACTCCAAGAGCCAGAAGTCTCTGGTTGGACGTGGTGATGGGGAGGTCGAGAGCCCGCTTGATCACTTTGCGGTGGATGACCTCGAGTTGGTCGTCATCGTGCCGCGGGACCAAGGCCGGGCTCGACAACGGCGCGCGAGCGCGCCTACCCGGGGCTTCTTCTCGCCGACAGATGGAAAGAGGTGGCGCGGGTGAGATGATGACGTGAGGAGTGGGCTCAAGCGTTGCTAGCGGTGGAGAGAATGAAGCGAGAGAGATGACACGTGGCGAGCGGCGACAGGCTAGGGAGAAAGTGACGTCACGTGCGCGTACAGCGAGAGAAGGCGTGGCATCGAACGGACATGTGTGCGTACGAGCTTAGCCTCCGTACGTGGACGTCGCGGATACGTCGCTCCGTGCCAGCTACGAAGAACACTGCCAGCGGTAACAAAATCAAGCTGGTTTGATGATCTGAAGCTGCCTCCAGGAGAGCGACCGATTACCACTTTGAAGCCTTATGAAAAAAATGAACGCATCTCCACGAAGTGAATCAGGAAGGGTGAGCGAAGCCCTATAGGAATCGATCGGTCCTACCACAAATCACCAACGAAATTGCCCACTCGCAGGTGTAAATGTGTGACAACACGTGTGTCACCATATGCACAATGTGTTTTTGCCACCGTTAAGCCACCGCTTCCCGCGCCCTCGTCATCGGGGTTGCAGCTTCTTGTTGGCGCTGCCATTTAATCGCTGCTTCCCGAGCTCTCGGCTTCGGAGTGTAGCTTTGCAGTCTGTATAGACATTGAGCCATTGCATGCGGCTCTCTCATTTCCGGCTTGTGGTTGGCGTTGCCGCTCTGCCTTTCGTCAGTGAAAGTGCTTCGACGATCGTTTTCATCCATGGCATAAATATTGTGTGGTCTGGAACGCGATTATTCATCGCCATCAGCTTCGCCAAGAATTATAGTGGGTACCTTGTATGCGCTAATGTGCTTATTCTTCATCGTCATGACTAGTCATGGCATACAGTGGCTACCTTGCATGTAATGTGCCCAACAACGCACAAGTGCATGGACAATGTAAAAGCCTAGACGTTAAGGTGCTTCGCCTTTAAAAGCCTTCGCTGCGTCGTCGGCCCCGAGCCGGCCAGCGGATAGTGTGAGAGCGTTGCCGGAGCAGGAGAAACAAGCGTCGCACGTATTGTGTCACAAAAAACTGTCTGATGGGATAAAATAAAGTCCCACTTGTCCGCTCCGTGCGCCAATAATTTTAAAGCAAAGTGATACTGAACGAAATTTCTGCCACCAAGATTTTCAGCCAAATTGAAAGACTGGCCCCGGAAATCGATAGAGACAACTTTCATTCCAGGCAGAAACTATAGAAAAATAATGGTCTATTCGTTTTTCATGAACTGCCACGTCTAGAGGCCGTGCCGTCAACTAGAAAAGGTGACGTCACAGGGACTCGAAACGGCCAAGTCAATAATGCCAGCCTTCGCCCACGTCTCTCGACTCGCCAAACTCCCCCTTCGGTTACCACAACCGGCACGAAGAGCAACAGCAGCAAACAATGCTTCTGGCTTGGGCAAATCACCAGCACTTTTGTGAAAGGGAGTGGGATGAAAGGATAGGTGGAGAAAAGGAAGAGAAATACCAGGACACGTGCATCCTGCTAGGCTCCTCTGTGAGTGCGACGTCACGGCTTGCAGCCGCCGCGCACTGACAATCCATAAAAAAAACTGTTCAAAAATACGGGAAATACACTGTTTATCGGAACCGTGGCACCTTTAGAGTCGAATTGCGAAGTTTGGTCAGTTTTTCAATTTTTGTTCAGTGTCCCTTTAACGCGAAGGCGAGCACCAATACGAGGCAGACGGAACCAACGGGCGACCGCCAACGATCACGGTGATCACTAAAAACGAACTATCCCTAATCGCTGCCCTCGTGTGGTTATGTTTTTCCTTTATTTCTCTTATCTAGAAGAACCGTTGTCGGGGCGGCCAGTGGGTGGGCCGTCTCCACGACGGCGTCACTCTGCAATATAGTAAGGACGTTAAAGTTATTTAACGTCTCGGCCTACATACTTTTAACCGAGTTTTCTTTAGCATTGCTCAAATGGACGGTGTCTTTATCGTTTGTTTGGACAGACATGTGGTGACGGATATATCTCACGTTTAATGTGCCGTGACTAAAACATGATTATCAGGCCCGATGCAGTGAAGGGCTGCGGAGGTTTCGACCATATGGTCTTCTTTAACGTGCAATTGCATCGCACGATACGGGGACCTCAAACAATTCGCCTTCTTCGGAATATAAACGTCGTGGTCGTGATCGAAATCTCGACCTTGGCGTCAGCATCCAAGCACCGTACTCCGCTGCGCCAGACCTGCTCTGTGACAGTCGAACGGAAAGAAGGAAACAAAAGGAAATTGCTGAACCAACCTTGGAATTCTCATGTTTTTTTTTCTTTTTTTTTGGCGCGTGTGTGGTTGTTCAAAGCGATGAAGTGAGTGAAGTAATCGTAAAAAGGTGACAGTTATTTCAAAAGTAATACCTGGTTTGTCTGACAGGTCTCTTCAAAGCAAATCAATAACAGTACGAGTCACCATGCGGCTGAAAAATGCTTGGTACAAATATACACCCATGGGTTCTTAAATGCCGCATATACACGAGGCGAAACGAAGCTTTCAGTAACTTCGATTTAATTCCTTAGTAATGTTGCGACTCCGGGTCCCGTGGGTCTCAGTTTGGTAGCGGGCCCCCGTCCTAGGACCCATCGTCGAACAAGTCAGATGAGGCGCTCGTAAAAACGACTACAATTTATTTACATGGTTAGTAACTGAGAGCTTGAAAGGAGAAGTCGAAAACTGTACATGAGAACTGTTGAACTGTAGAGCTTGAGAACTTGTAAAATACACAACAGTCTTCCGTTTATATAGCACCCCGTTGCCAACACTGGGCGCACTGTCCGCGGCTTCAGCTAATACGGCGCTCCGTGGTCTAGATTCTCCACCCACGAAGGAGAGGAAAGGCACCACACAATGCATGAGGAGAGGGCAGTCTACACGATGCCCAAATATGGTCACAAACTCACTGCACCGACGTTTTCGCACACGTCACCAAGTTTCGCGCACGTCCGATGATATTGGCTTCGAAGACTCTTCCGGCAGCTGGGTGAGGTTCGAAAAACCGGCTGCCAGTACACGTTTCAAACTTGCCTGACTGTTTGAGTAGGACAATGTAGTGGTGGGCCAGCATATCTTCAAAATATGCCACCCCATTCAGCCGATCCTATGGAGAAAGGGGAAAAGGAATAGTCAACTAATCCCTTGTCCCTGAGGCAGGCTCCGGCAAGGCTGCAGAACATAGTGCATTATCCTTTTCTTCACCCCCACATTTCACCCTGGTTGTTTGCTAGAAGCTGTGGCGTAGCAGCGCATATCCCGGGGCTCCGCTTGTCCTCGCAAGATGCAGCGTCAACCAATTTGGCTTTAGCTTGCGAACTGAACTGCGAATACCATGCTGGTTCCGAGATTTCCAGATCCTCGGTGACCTCGAAAATGGCCCAGCTGCCTCCGTGTCTGCTTCGAAAGCCTTGCTCGCAGCAAACACAATGGCCTTTCTTGGCTCGTGTGCCTTCCTTGCGCAGACCAGTCCTGGCCCCTTTTCACGTTTTGCTGACAGGAAACCAACCCGTCTTGAAAGCACACCCTCGCTTGGAATGCGTCGAAATATTTTCGACCCTTCCTCAAAGGCCGAAAAAATTCAATAATTATGACGGTTGTAACAGTAAATAAAGTTGCATGACTGTTTTTCACTTCCACTTTATTTTACAGTGAAAAAGTCGCAAGTCAGAGTAGTTCCTCGCCAAGGCAGTGAGCCCGGAGAACGGTGATCGAAACCAGCGATGGCATATAAAACGTTTGAACAGAGCAGAAGTGTAAAATAAGTGTAAATAAAATAAATTAGAATAAAACGAGAATCGGACGACACATTAGAGCAACTAAGATTGCACGGCGGGCTTGTTGGTTATTCATGTTGTTCGAGGTATAGCGCATCCAGGACGGGACAGAGAAGAAGACACAGAACACATACACGGCGCCGTGTATGTGTTCTGTGTCTTCTTCTCTGTCCCGTCCTGGATGCGCTATATCTCGAACAACATGAATTAGAGCAACGTTCTCTTCTGAAGAATAGCAGTGTTATTCGTATTATAGTTCAAGGACGTACTTTTCAGAAAGGCACAATATACGCAAGGTGAACACTTCAGCTCATCATATATACATATCTTATCACGCGAGCTTGAAGACTCAGCTATAAATCGCATAGTACAGGTGAACATCGACCTGGCAGGAGGACAATCCAAGAGTGCGCTCGCGAGCCCCGGACCAGCACTGCTTGAACTAACGTCCTTGCGCCCTGGTGATCAGTTCGAGCAAAGCCTCGTTGCAGATGTCTGGGTAGCGTACGAATCCGTAGTGCGATCCATTCCTTAACTCGATTACCTTGACAACGTCGTCGCCCTTACCTGAAAATGCAGAGCGAAGCGTTGATGTCACGAGCACTTAAATGGATAATTCATTAACGCAGTTGAAACTTAGCAGCGTTGCTCAGTGGTGGTCGAATTGAGAATACCCGCGGATCAAAACGAGGCATTTTTTTTTTCAAGTTTAACGAGTGCAATGAATTGCCTGTGATAACAGCTTCACGTCATGCAAATCTGGCCGCTAAAGGTAATGTAGACTCTGCTGTAAGTGCTCGAGTACTGTCGTTGCTGGAAACGAAGGTATACACGCGCATCAAATAGTCCCAAAGTTTCGCGTTTCAGTCAGTTAATAAGGTACACAAGCATGCAAAGACGAGAGCGAGCAAACTAGACGAATACACAAGGAAAGAGAAATGTACTGGACGATGCTGGTATGCAATAGGCTCGCTAGTTTACTCATGTATTTGCCGCTATATAGTCACGAAAGAACGCTCCAGGCAGCATATAGAGTCGCAATAGCCTGTCGATAGCGCGACCTTGCGAAGGCAGTTCAGAAACTGGTGTATGCACATGTTTTGTCGTGCTCCACTTGAGTAATTTATTCGGTACAACCTCTCGTGCCTCCGGATAAATTTCACATGAAATTCAGGAACTGAATAAAGTCACTTCTTGCACATACTGCCACTTCATTGTCTGCACTTCTTTATGGGTTACGAAGCGCAGATAATCTTACCACTATTGAAGATAGAAGTGGAGAGCGGTACGTAACACGGGGCTGGAGGAGAGAACAACATAAGCGTGCACAGTTCTCTCCTCCAGTCCGTGTTACGTACCACGCCCCACTTCTATCTTCCATAATGAACTGCTACCAACTAGCCTATATGGCTGTTTTGCTATAATCTTACCACTCCGGATGAGGTGCCCGCCGTTGTCGTACAAATAGGTTTTCTCGGGATCGCAACCCAACCTCCGAAGCAGTGTCCAGTTGTCCTCCTTTGAGAGCAGTCTGTCGTTGCCGCTGACCATGACGAGAGTGGGTATCTTGCGGTCTCGAATCGTCGCTAACTGCTGCTCAACCTAGGATGATATGGCCACGGTGGTATAACGTCACTGATCTCTATATAAGTCATCCCGAAGTTGTGTGTGAGCTATATGTAGGTCTCCGAAATAATTTGCCAATCACACGTTCTGCATATCGATGTAACGCCCACTTCGATCGTGCATGCCCTCTATGCCCTATCTGAGTGTGGCAGGGACTTGAAGTCTTGAGCCCCAGTGACCACAAGGTTCCGTCAAGCAATTTGTCTGGAAACTTAGCTGAAGGTTCAACAACATAATAGTGAAGCTGTTGTACATAACAAAATTTTATAATAAAGGCGCTTGTGGCCTAACAGTTTGAGAAGGCTGCCTTGCTTGCCGAAGATTATGGAAAAAACTCTGGCAAGACATTCAGTCTGTTTACGAAGCAATTATCTCCTGTGTCTACAGCCATCAACAAGCTTATTAAGAAAGATCCACAGCGTGGCCTGGACTGGCTTGACAAAAACCAACCGCGAAGCACCGGGCACTGTTACGGGGGATGATTCCTCGGTATGCTTGAATAGTATGTCTGTATGCTTTGGTAACACCTCATCAACAGAACCCAAATGTTCCGAGGCGCTAGCAGTAACCAAACTTTTCCAAGACATGCTGTAGAGCGTTCCAGTTAATCTTGCTGACGAAGGCACATGTGCAACAGCACGTGCATAAGTTCGCGCCGAGAAACAAAGCGCGCACGCATGCCCATGCGTGGGCTGCATTCTAGAAACTTGTGCGAATGCAGATTGCTAGATTGTCTGTTATGCAGTGTTCGTATATAGGTTACCAAACATGTATAAGGTAGACCCGAAGGAAAAAAAAGTACGTTGCCTAACCCTATGCTCTTCGCATCCGATGCTCGAGTGGTAGGAGAAGAAGGCGTCATATGCTTGGCCCCTGCTCGGGTGCCTGATCAGATTCGCAACCACTTGGAAGAGGGGTGTCATGATGGCTACTCCTCGTCGACTCTTCATCGCCCAAATAAACGCAGGATTGAAGAGCACCTTGTTCTGCGTGCCCCTGCAAAGGCGTAGTCGACACGTTTAACTTATGCCTCTAACCAACTATTTCACCCCCCCCCCCCTCAAATTCCGATAAAGCACCAATGCTTCCTTGGTTGGCCAAATTGATGGAGCGGAATGTGATTTGATAGCATTTTCTTTTGTCTCTCATAGGAGAGTCAAATAACGTCTCTCCAGACACAGTGAGTTTCCGTCTTTGTGGACAGACGGCCAACCAATATGTGCGAGTTCATAGCTCTCAGGTCAAACCATGGTCTATGGTTCCAGCCATCGTCACATTTACAGCCGAAGCAACTCCAAAGATACTAGCTTGTTTTCATTTGGCTTCAGGGTGGAATGACACAAGTATTTTGTGCATAATCTTGAGCAGAGTTCCCCTTCGGCGAGGCGAAATTTCGTCGAAGCGTGTTCCTCCCTATTATGTCAATGTATCGCGGGCTGACTTTGCCCCCCCCCCCCCCCCTATCCAACGTTTCTAGAAACGTTCCCCTATCAGCCCCCCCCCCCCCCCGCCCACACACCAATGACTGTGTGGGCAATAAATCTCACTTGGGCAATAGTGGTAGGGTGCCCCTACTAGCGGTGTCGAATATAACTTTGTTCCCTCTTTGACACGTGGACAAGAAATGCACGTGTGCCCTTGCTCGATTACTGCGTGTTTCTCAAGGCAGGGTTTTAGGGGTTTTCAAACGTTTTCTCAGAAAATATGAGTTCTTATATAGGGGGTTTACACACTTGAAACTAGAATTGGCAGCCTAGGTGCATAATATTTTTTTTTATAAAACATTCATAAATAGCGAATTTCAGGCAAACGTAAGAAAATACAAATCTAGTTATACACTCACAATTGTAGTTATATTTTGTGAATCGTGCTGCACTTTCGCAAAGATTCAATGCTCTTCGAATTGCAAATCTCTACGAAAAATATTGCCGTGCGTGTTCCTTAATTTCACTCTTGTTTCATAAGGTTTTCGCCCACAAAGCTGTTTGAATGCTCAGCGCAAACTGCGCCTCATTGTTCGAGAAGGTTCTCGACTATTGTAGATTATTTTGTCAAGATCGGGCTAGGTTATTCCAGAGCTTGGGCGACGGCCAGTAATAAGGCTGGAATATTCGGCGGCACATGCGAGTACAAATGCCGACGCGCTTCGCCACTTGTCAGTTGATCGACGGCCGACGCTCTGTTCTCCACTATCAGTTTTTGTGTGTTGCTGTATTGCGACCTTGAGTTTCCCGGCCACAAGGTCGGCCAAATAATTAGTTTTATCTTTCAACCACTGTCTGCTCCTTTCTTTTATGTTACGACCCCATGACAATACATACGTAGAAGAACTAAAAAAACAAATAAGTAATAAAAATGAAACTTATTTTTAAATACAATGCCAGCTGCGTCCACAGTTAAGATGCTTCGCAAAACTTATAGCTATAACTCCTATTACCACTGCTGTAGAGTGAAAATATGAAACTCGCTTTCAAAATTTCACATTGCTCATATGTTTGAATGTATGTCGATGCTTGCTTCTGGCGTATCACTGACTGATCGAGTAATTCCGTTCACTGTTAGAGCTTCGTGAACTTAATTTACGAAATCATCTGCCACAAACGTGTAGCAGCGCCTCATTCACGACAACAAGCCCAGAAGTGCACCTTCTTTGGGTTCAGCCCGCGCAGTGGGGTGCGGTCTCCATTTATTCTAGCGCCCGCCCGCTGAATTGAAACTGCGCTTGATTCGGACAATTTGAAAATTCCCTTCGTGTTCAAATTAACGAGCATTTTCTGCGTTAGAGGCTTGTTGTGAAAAAAATATTTGATCATGGGCGCCCGTCTAAGTGTCACAAAACAAGTAGAAGACCGTCGCATCGTCGATATATGACCTGACCTGAAATATCGGGTTGTGGTGGCCATAAGAAACGCCAAGGATTTGACATTGATGCTGGGCTCCTCGGCTATCAATTGCACCGCAGGAGTGCTTCCAGTGCTGTGGCAGACAAGCATGTCTATCCTGCAAAAAGTGAGGCTCACTATCAACACGTGTGCTCGAAATTAAGGCTTCCAATTACGGTAAAGGCAAAAGAAACAAAATTTAAACACGGGTCTAGAAAACGTTATCACTAATACAGGGTGCCCCAGCCTTTAGCTAAGGTTTAAAAGTACGCCGTTGCACAATGACGATCGACTGGAGTATGTCCTACTATTTATTGTTTATGGCTTAATTGCCTAATTCGTCATCATCATAATCATCATCTGCCTGACTACGCACGCTTCAGGGCAAAGGCATATCTCCCTTGATCAGCCAATCAACCTGGTCTTGTGCTTTCCGTCACCACGTTAGAGCTGTGAAATTTCTATTCTCATCGGCCCACCTAGCTTTCTGTCTTCCCTTTGTGCGTTTGACTTGTCTGGGAATCCAGTCAGTAACCCTTGATGAGCAGCAGTCATCCTGCCTACGTGAACGGCCCACGTATATACGGCACGACCCCGGCCAACATTGAGGACGTGCCCAGCACACCGGCGCGTGCTCATAGCAGTGATAAGCCGGCGCCGTGGTTATCACTTGTGTCCCCGCCAGTAGCGCGTTCGTCACCGTCCGTGGTCACCGCACAGCTACCACTATTGTCGCAGCTCTGACCAGGCAGCCCTCCCGGTCATGTACTGTGATCCTTTTCTGGCATGATACTTGATACTTTCAAGGGTGGAGCATCTTAGGGTCGAGTCTTGTCCATTGTTTGTTGTCCGGCACGTCACATGTAAGTTACCCACCATATGCCCACCATGTGTCCGTCATGACACAGCACATGCAGGGCACATAAATCAAAAGCTGATAAGCAAGCCCTGGTTTTTGGCTGACTGATTGTGGGGTTTGACGTCCCAAAACTACCATATGATTATGAGAGACGCCGTAGTGGAGGGCTCCGGAGATTTCTACTACGCGGGGTTCTTTAACGCGCACTCAAATCTGAGCACATGGGCCTACAACATTTCCGCATCCATCGGAAATGCAGCCGCCGCCGCCGAGATTCGATCCCGCGAACTGCGGGTCAGCAGCCGAGTACCTTAGCCACTAGACCACCGCGGCGGGGCAAGAAAACTCTGGTTAGAATCCAAGCCAAGTCAAATGAAACATTCACGAGGGGTGGAAATATCTATAAAACTCACCCCCTAAACAACCTAAATATAAAGAAAATGTGATTGACCTCGTTTTTGCCGACATCAGCCTAGACCTCTACATTTCACGGACCACAATGTAGTTGTAATGAAGACATTACGGAATGCAGAACTCAACACAACTTGTGGGTTATGATCGATAAAACATTGTACGTACTGTATAAACGCATTGTCTCCTTTTAGGTGCGAGCGTGAGCAGGTGATTTAACTCACAAGTGCTTCGCCCACTCGTCAAGAATCACATACTGGAGGGGGGTGCGCGTGTGCGTGTGTGTGTGTAGTACGTGGACATCTGTATAAAGCATGAAACTTTAATAATGACCAGATAAATTTAGAAGCTGGCTATTCGATGCCTTTCAAACCAATCTACAATGTATCCACTTATTTTAGGCTAGCTTCAATACTTCAGAAGTTAGTTATTCATGCTTAGTTAGTCAATTACGCAGCAACAAAAATAGACGCCCTCCAGACGATAGTAAGCTTAAACAAGATGTATTTAGTCGCATCGTCATTCAGTGCAACGGTGCATTTTTAAATCCTGACTAACTGGGGCACCCTGCGTACGGCCTTCGGTCATTCAGTGCAAAGCTCCAAATTGTCTACAATAAGCATATGGGTACTCTTTATCGGTAAAAACTAAAAAAAAAACGACGCATATCTACGAAGTGAACGTTGATAATGAAGTGAAGCAGTGTGCACCGGCTCGTAAATAGTGGCCTTCCTATTTTGTCTGGTTAACAGTGTTTTATTTTGTTCTAGTTAACGTTTCGTTTGGTCGTACGCTTTGATCAATGGATAGTTAAGTTTCGGTGTTCTCATGGTGCTTATTTTGTTTGTTTTGCTCTACAGCCTCTTCAGATTTGCTGTTATTGTTCCCAGATTTTGTTCACATGCACTAACGCTAGATCTGCTGTAGACGTCAACGACACACGGACATTGTGCGGCCTTAAGGCGTTTCACTCTTTACAACAGGTCGGCACTCCCGACAGTATACTCACTTATTGATGTTAAGTTTCTTGAGAAAATCGATGACAAGTCTGGTCTTCTCATCGCAGCTGTGCCACCAGTAGCCGGTCGCCATGGTTAATGCAAAGCCTGGTGAAAAGAAAGAGAGCTGCTAATGAAAAGATAATATGAAACAGAAATTTAAAAGCGTTCTACAGAGGGCTACCTAGTTTATTAAAACATATATGGGTCAGAGGCCACAAACTGAAATAGATGTTCAATCATGTGGGGTCTAAAAAAAAAATATCGCCACGCTCTCGGCAGACGTGGACACAGCAAAAGCCGTCGGGCAAATCAAAGAAACATGAATAGCTTTTATTCACTTCTTTTTACAACAATAGTTTCACCAGCCGAATCAAATGCGTCACTAACAAGCTAAACAACCTTGTACTATATTCCAATACAATGCTCATGAAAACAAACACTAGGTACCACGGATGTAACACCACGAATGTTCGACTAATCACAAAGGATCCACGGGAGGCGAACTGCAGTGTCGTCGACTGAAATTCACCATGCGCTCCGTCGCATGCTATACGCATGGTTGGTTTTTTTTTTTATTGGCAGAAGGTGTAAATTCTTTCCGTGCGCCGGCCTATGGCCTCTCCACATGGCCGCGCTATTCTTAACCCACGCGACCGCAGCGTCATCTACCACTCGACGACGGCTGCTAAACTTAGATGCAGCCTATTCGCGAGACACGTGTGTGCCCTCCAGCGCAAATGGCTTTACAGCTAGGGGGTGATAACACCCCCCCCCCCCAGAAACACCCCCATAGCCTTCGAAGTGCCTATAGTTTACAAGATGCATACTATGCACAACAGATGGCACACAGAACCGGGTAAGGACTCGTTCTCTGGATAACACCCCCATAGCCTTCGAAGTGGCTATAGTTTACAAGATGCATACTATGCATAACAGATGGCACACAGAACCGGGTAAGGACTCGTTCTCTGGATAACACCCCCATAGCCTTCGAAGTGGCTATAGTTTACAAGATGCATACTATGCACAACAGATGGCACACAGAACCGGGTAAGGACTCGTTCTCTGGATAACACCCCCATAGCCTTCGAAGTGGCTATAGTTTACAAGATGCATACTATGCATAACAAATGGCACACAGAACAAGGCAAGGACTCGCTCTCTGGATTTCGTGCCGACTGGTTGTGCCCCCGCGATCTCCAACGACAGCGCAGCTCTGGCCAACCGGCTCGCCCTACGCCATCTCCTGACGCCGACAAGAGCTCTCGCTGAGTGGTGCCCCGTCCTCGGACTCCTGTGACCGTGTCCATCTTTCCTATCTCCTCTTAACTTCCGTCGTTTTCTGTCGTTCGCTGTCCCTGCGCCTCGCTCTCTCCTTCCTCTCTGTATCTCTATACCTTTAATCCTATCCTTTTAATCCCTCCTTTCCCCACCCCTTGTGAGCTACTATTGAGGTGCCGCACTCTGATGCAGACAGTTACGGGGCTGACTTTTCCCTTTAAGAATCACATAAGAACAGGTTATACGGGTAAAAGAAAAGACAAATGCCTCTGTGATAGAGAAATAAAGCTGGACGACGGCGCCATGCTTATGGCACGCTTGAAAACTAGCAAGCCTTTACGTAAGCGTAACGGCGTTCATCTAGCCCCGCCGCGGTGGTCTAGTGGCTAAGGTACTCGGCTGCTGACCCGCAGGTCGCGGGTTCGATTCCCGGCTGCGGCGGCTGCATTTCCGATGGAGGCGAAAATGTTGTAGGCCCGTGTACTCAGATTTGGGTGCACGTTAAAGAACCCCAGGTGGTCAAAATTTCCGCAGCCCTCCACTACGGCGTCTCTCATAATCAAATGGTGGTTTTGGGACGTTAAACCCCACAAATCAATAAACGGCGTTCATCTAGTTTAACTCCGGTTTATTTTACACCAGATGTATTTCAAAAAAAGAACAATTCGCTTCGATGCACAGCTGCCCTTTCTTGTGCGGTACCGTTCACTGTTAAAGGAAACGGTCAAAATGCCCACCATCAGTATTGGTGTCACTCAAACAGCAACTGGTTACGAAAACAAACTGCATGCTGTTTCGACTCCGGATCCTGCGGATCTCAGTTTGGTAGTGGGCCCCCATTCTAGGACCCATCGTCGAACAAGTAAAAAACGACTACAATTTATTTACATGTTTAGTAACTGAGAATTCGAAAGAGCTGATCAAGTGATCAAGTAGAAGTCAAGAACTGTACAGCAGAACAGTTGAACTGTGTACTTCAAGTATAGAAAAGTCTTCCGCTTATCCGCTTATTATATAGCGCCTCGTTGCCATCCCTGGGCGCATTGTCCGCGGCTTCCGCCAATAGGGCACTCCATGGTCTAGGTGCTCCACCCACGAAGGGGGGGAAAGACACCACACAATTCATGTGGAAAGGGCACAGGCTACACGATGCCCAAATAAGGTCACAAGCGTACTGCACCAGCGTTTCGCACACGTCACCAAGATTTCGCGCACGTCCGATGATCTTAGATGACCTTGGTTTCCAATACTCTTCTGGTAGTTGGGTGAGGTTCGAAATTCCGGCTGCCAATTCACGTGACAAACTTGCCTGAATGTGTTTGGGTAGGACAATGTAGTGGTGTGCCAGCATATCGTCAAAATATGCCACTCCATTCAGCCGATCCTATGGAGAAAAGGGGGAAGGAGCAGTAGTCAAGTAATCCCTTGTCGTTGAGGCGGGCTCCCGTAAGGGCTGCAGCAGAAAGTGCCTTATCCTTTCCTTCAACACCCCATTCCATTCCTCGTTGTTTGCTAGAAGCTGCGGCTTAGCTGTGAATATCCGAGGCTACGCTTCACATCACAAGGTGCAGCCACAGCCAGTTTGGTTTTAGCTTTCAGCCCAAACTGCAAAGACCACGCTGGTTCAAATCTTTCCAGATCTTCAGTGACCTCAAAAATGGCCCAGCTGATTCCTTGTTTTTCTGAAATGCCTTGCATAGAGTCGAGCTCACAATGGCCTTTCTTGGCTCGTGCGTTTTCCTTGCGCAAACCGGTCCTGGACCCCCTTTTCACGTTTCGCTGGCAGGAAACCAACCCGTCTTGGCGGCACACACTCCCTTGGAATGCATCAAAATATTTTCATTCAAAGGCCGAAAGACTTCAATAGGGATTACGGTCATAGCAATGCACATCCCCAGTCCATCAAGAGGAGTCGGAACTTTCACCCACCAGCAGTCTTATGTACATCTAAGCTATCTAAGATGGCGAAATCGAAACATACTGTTTAGCCAAGTGTTTTCTTTACATGCTATTTGTGGAAAGTGGTGCATTTAAACTTTTTATACCCTTTGCAACCAGTGCGGTTGGTGGGAAAGCAAAATCTGCAGCATTGCGCTGTGGGTGCCAGGTGACTGAAAGGACAACCATTAGATGGTTTGCAACAAGAAGTAACGCTGACACAATGTAATCGTTTCAACGTGTCGTACTGCATGCGGCGACTGCCGGTTTACAACCAAGGAGCTTTAACAAGATAGCATTAGAGAGCTCGTGTCGCAGAAATTCCGCCGGCAGCGTCGGCACCGTTGGTTGTGAGCGAAAAATTGTCCGTGAGCAAAAAATCGAGTAGGAAGCAAATAAAACAATGATGAACGTTTTGGTGCCATTGATGATCGAACCCGGACTGTTCGCGTGGCAAGCAGGTGTCCTACCACAAAGCCACGATATTACTTGCTGATGTTTCGGGCAAAAAAAAAAACACTATATTAATGCCATGTAGTGGATGGAGTCTCCTTAACGCATTTTGTTCGACAGGTGTCACGAAGAAAACGAGTCCATTCGGCGAAGTGTAGGCGCATTGGGGAGGCCATCAAACTACAACGAAAAAGGCCGGGATAGTGCAGCTGTCGCCGCTAAAAACACACGGGAACTTTCAAATAGCTCTAAAAATGGACAACTATGTCCATCTAGCGGAAAACATGTCATGCCTTTCCAAAGGCACTGATGAAGCAAACAGCAAACGCTAGATAATGCGCTGCCATCTGCGAGATATTGCGAGACTCTTTATGGCCTCCGAGATGGTGAGCGCGTGGTGCGTATTTTGGAGGGCATGCGACTTGTTTAAGATCAAGAACCTGTATGTACCGTTCCTGCGCTTGTCCGTGTGTGTGTGTGTGTGTGTGTGTGTGTGTGTGTGTGTGTGTGTGTGTGGTGTGTGTGTGTGTGTGTGTGTGTCTGCTGCGTGTGCGTAACAAAATATATTAAGTATGCACTTAGCGGTTGAAGGGTCCACTAGGGGCCGGATTTCGCTATCGCGTTCAACTATTAAAGGCGAAGCTTAAGGGTCTCCCAATTTCATGTGTCGTGTATGTTTATGTTTTTCTATGTCCCTTCAATGATGCAGTGCTTGACCAGAGAAGTCATAAGTGCAAGGTCAAATGTCCATGACTACAGAAAACCTCCGGTCACTTTTTGGGACCATTTTTGCCTCTAAGAAAAAGTATACTCGAACAACGCTAAAAATGAATACGTTCCCCATGTATCCACATGCACACTATTGACATATATGTATATAGTCGTGTTGAACTTCAAGACTAGTCATTAGCATCACGAGTGATGTCAGACCTCCAATGATAGTGGCTAACGGTGGCCTGGTACCCACTGAACGCTTTGACCAATGTAAGGCAGCGAAATTTGCGCATAAATAGTGAAATAATTCATATACCAGGCCAGTTGAAGCAGAGTACATCCACGCCATTCTTCTCGAGGAAAGGGATGTTGTATCTGTAGTCCCGGTAATGCCCTGGTGCCCCCGTCAATATCATGGTCAGCGGTCGCTCGGTGAGGTCGCCGTGCTCCATGCGGTCGAGCCCCGTGTGAATGTACACAACTTGTACTCGAGCACCCGTCTCTGGTGCCTGCTCGTACCCACGACGACCTTCGGCTCGCCATTTCTGCGTCCCGGAAAGTGGAGATTGTTAACGTCTTAACTACGAGAACGATGATGAACTCAAGCACGCCCCCATGCGGGCCACATGCAGACCACGGATATTTTGCTATCGGGCTGGTCCGCATGTTTGTCCAATATTTTTCTAAGGCCGAAGCTCCTTAGTGTGTGGATCGTTCCCTCGTATTATGTAGCCACTTTTAGTTGGCTTTAAGAATTGCTCACTAGATGGCATAGTGTGAATGTGCCCTCGAAAACAATATCACGAGAAGGCTTTAGTGGTTTTTGTATAGTTAACGACTAAATAGGATAGATGGAGATGTTATGAGAAATTCACAGCATATACACGGAGTAAATCATGATTAGTGGAACGAAGCGTCCGTCCGTTCATCCGATGCGTCAAAAGTCTACCCTCTGGGCATTTATGCCCCTCTGTCTCTGTCTCTCACACACATAGAAAAGCAGGCCTAGCACGTAGCCCTACCAGGCAAATCCGGTCAAGTGTGCTTGGCTAATAGCGAATAATGACGAGTGCAAGGTGAAGCAGTTGAGGAGAAGCAGCGCCCATTTTCGTCTTTATTCGCTCCTTCAAGCTACACCTGACAGCCCAACTCTAGAGCAAGCAACGTTGTTGAGCTTCGCGATATCACTTGTGTCATACTATCCTGCCACATATAAAATAGAGCGTTTCAACATTGACGGACTACCGTATGGGAAGTACGGAAACACCACGCTGTCGTGGTCAGTACGTATAGCTTCTTAAAAACATTCACAGTCGCGTGATTCACTCATTGCGTACGTCAGCATGGTCAGCTGATCAAAATGACTAATAGATGTCTCCCAGATTAAAGCAATGCTCCGATCCAGACGCTTTGGTATCATCGTACATGTACAGTAAATCAGCACTGATAAATGTAAGTCTTGGTGTTAGAACCGCGAAATTGTAAGGCGCACCGTAGAGAGGGCTAATTTAGACCACCTCAGGTTATTTAACGTACGCCTAAATCTAAGAACAAGGGTGCTATTGGCGCTTCGCCCCACTAGACGTGTGTATCAGAGCACTATATATATATATATATATATATAATATATATATATATATATATATATATATATATATATATAGAGAGAGAGAGAGAGAGAGAGAGAGAGAGAGAGATCTAACAGACAATAACGCCAAGGAATGTATAGGGAAGATATTAGAATCAATTATTATTCCTGCTCACGGGCAAGTTATTTTTTCACCCACTTTTCTTTCTTCCTATTTACATTACATTGATTCTAATATCTTCCCCTATACATTCCTTGGCATCATTGTCTGTTAGATCTCATAATATTGTGTCAAAACACGGAAAAACGAGCCCTTGGGTATAAACTTCTTTCCCATATACATATACATATACATGTATATACATATATATATATATACATACATACATATACATATATACATACATATACATACATACATATACATATATACATACATATACATATATATATACATACATATACATATATATACATACATACATATACATACATATACATATATATATACATACATACATATACATACATATACATATATATATACATACATACATATACATACATATACATATATATATACATACATACATATACATACATATACATATATATATACATACATACATATACATACATATACATATATATATACATACATACATATATATACATATATATATATATATATATAATATACATATATATATATATATATATATATATATATATATATATATATATAATATATATATATATATATATATATATATATATATATATAATGTCGCAAGCTGACCTTGTAGAGGTCACCGCACGTGGTGATCTCGATGGTCCTTTCCTTGTACGTGAGCGGTGGCGCGTCGTGCAGCAGCTGGCGAACACTCTTCGCAGGTGGAGCAGAAGCGACGATCATGTGAGCGCAGCGACGGTGTCGGAAGCGGAGATCGCGAAGCACGGCTTTGGAAACCAAACCTCCAGTTTTCGCCGAGGCTACGCGAACGCAAGCCGTCGGACAGCCTCGGAGTAACGGCGTGGCATGGTGCATGGCGTGGCGCCGTAGGAGGAGCTGCTGGCGTGATGCGAGAAAAGCGCCTCGCACTGGGTGGGACGGCAGAAGGCCTGCGTAACGGATTGGAAAGATTGCAGGTCTGTAAAATGTGATATCTCACTGCAAACACAGCTGCTTACAAGAAAAGAATATGGCGTGCATTTTGCCAGCAATACCCCACGTCACCAAAAGCCATGGGAGTGCCTTCGACGGGGGCTCTCTTTGCTCAACGGTGGCCCTACTTAGCTCAAACCTCCAACAGGAACTAAGAAACCGCATCAGTGTGAGTGCGTGTGCGCGTGTGCATGTGTGCGTGTGTGTGAGCGAGGCGTATGTACGGGTGCGTGTATTGCTGTCAACAGGCACGAGAGGCCGCTTTCTGTTCCGCCTGGTTAGATAACGGTGTATACCAAACACATAAATGTAGTTTAAAAGAGAAACGATAGCTCCCACGAATATTATTTTTCCCGTAACATGTACATGACCAGTGTCAGTGTACAATGTCAAGTTGGGATTCTGTCGTCATTTATTCCCCTTATCCCCTTCCCCATCACAGGAGAGCCAGCCGGTCTGAGAACTGGCTAACCTCCCTGTCCTTCCTCCTCCTCCTAGGATTTTAGTCAGAGAATGCAACATCGAGTTAAAACCTGTCCCGTGCACACAAAGCTGTAATACACCAAGTTACACAGAAAGGTGTTTATATCGACATAAAAGACATTTTGTTAGTTATAACAATTAGAGTTCAATGTCCCAGAACCACTACATGAATCTGAGAGAGGCCGTAGTCGTAGTGGACGGCTCAGGAAATGTCGACCCACTAGGGTTATTCAACCTACGTGCACCTAAATCTGAGTAAACGGGCTTCAGACATTTTCGTCTCCATCGAAAATGAGGCCGCCATGGCTGAGACTCGATGCCGCGACCTTAGTTTATTAGTACTCTGAAGATCAGGAAGAGAGAGAGAGAGAGAGAGAGATAAAGATGCAAGGAAAGGCAGGGGAGGTTAACCAGACGCACATCCGGTTTGCTACCCTGCACTGAGGAAGGGATAAAGGGGAGAAAAGAGGTTGCAGAAAGATGAGAAGGTACACACAATCACGAGCACACTCGGGGAGCACACGCAGTCTATAGGCGGTCGCTGAGGTTTGTTGACTTAAAGTAGCAGTGCTTTAGTCGCTTTCTGCGCAACAGACAGATGCCCAAGGTCCTAGTATCTTCTGCACACAAAATGGTCCGGGGTCAAGTTGATTCAAGACCATCCGGAGCTGGCATCACTGTGTGTCGTAGCAAGCGCAGCTGCACAGGACATGTTCGATGGTCTCTTCAGCTCCGCAGTAGTCGCATGTAGGAGTGTCTGCCATACCAATGCGAAAGGAGTACACCTTTGTAAATGCAACACTCAACCAAAGGCGGCATAACAGTGTCGCATCGGAGCGGGAAAGTTGTGATGGTAGCTTTATCTTGAACGAAGGATCCAGTTCATAAAATTGACACCTTTGGAAGCTGGTAGACGACCAGAACGTGCGTGTGAGATCTCGAACCAGCAGGTAAAGTTGTCTTGCTGCATCATTCCTTGATAGAGGAATCGGGACTACACGGGTTTCTTCATGGGCTGAGCAGGCAGCATCATCGGCTAATTGATTTCCGGTAATACCGATATGTCCAGGCAGCCATTGATATATAATATCATGCCCTCGTGCTAGAGCTTCATGATGGCAATGTCTTATTTCTTGTACCAATTGGTCATGACTCCTCCTACGCATGGCAGACTGCAAACTCTGAAGCACTGCCTTCGAATCGCAGAATATGACCCATTTTCCTGGACGTTCTTGAACGAGATATTGTAAAGCAGCCCTTATAGCAGCAAGCTCTGATGCCGTAGATGTAGTCATATGCGACAACTTAAACTTGATTGTCATTGCTGCAGCCGGAATTACAGCGGCACCTGATGAGCCGCTGGACGAGACGGACCCATCAGTGTATATCTGCGTTCGGTCTAAGTACAACTCATGTAATAATAGCAGTGTTGCTTGCTTTAATGCTACTCTGGAGTGATTGCTTTTCTTTTTGATTCCCGGAATTTCTAGACGCACTTGCGGCTGGTCGAGGCACCACAAAGGACATGCCATTCTCGCAGCTGGCGTATATCCTGATGGAATGCTGTTTAGGTGCTTGGCTATGACATCTGAAAACGTAGCACGTGGTCAGGAAGAACGTCATAGTATACCTGGGAGCTTCCTTTTACCAAATATATAATGAGAAAAAAAGTACGACATGCGTTTTTGGTTTAATGGTATATTTGTTATATATCCGTCTAATGTTCTGATTAATGCACTGTTGATGTCCATGCCTATGCGCGGCTCGTTAACCTGCGCATGAAACGAAATAGCCGCTGAGAGAGAAAACAACTGAAGACTTCATCGAACGTTCTTATTCATGTCATATGACGCGGTACTGCACTTTGCACCAGCTTAAGTCTAGTGTCCGAAAAATGGGTCGAGCATTTTCTTCGCTCAAGTGGTGACACTGTCAAATTTTTGCGATATATATTCCCACTTTTCCTGCCCCACTGGTCATGCATGATACAGCAGTGGCTGCAATTTCAGAGACTAGTGTAACGCAAAAACCCGTGAAAGCTCACCCTGTTTCAGCATCTTGTGTCTGTGTTCTACTCGCGTAGATCTTGCGGGGAATCAACGTCGACCAATGATTTCACATACGATGCCTTCGGCGCTGTAGATAACCGCGAGAAGCGCATAAAGTTCGGCCCTGAAAAAAAAGAAAATAAGAAACAAGCTTCATGCAATACTTTCACTAATAGAAAGGAAAGCTGATCTGATGTTTCAACCAAACAAAACTTTCAGAGCATGATTTTTATAAAAACAGAATTTCTGTTAGCAAGCAAATCGCATACAGAGAACGTCTTGACAACTTTACACTGCGCCCAGTTTTCAACGTAAGTACGGCAGCTAATGAGTTATATCAAAAACTATCTATTGCTGAACACTTTGAGATTATACACAAGTTCATTTACATATCAAGGCATGACCGTTTTAAAGCCGAACCCCCAAGGTGAGTTTGATAATGGTCAATCAGCTAACCTAATGGCTGCGAAGCGACGGCGGCGAGCCCAGGACCCCAATACGAGCAACGAGAGAGTACTAGAGAGCTGGAAAGGCAAGGTGCGAAAGAAACCGCGAAGCGATAGAAGGCCTACACCAACGACGACACGCCCCTACGTATATTACTGCATGAGAGGTGTGAGCGCTTGGTTCAGCGCGAGGCTCTCGCTATAGAATGAATATGTACAACCGTCAGCACCTTTAAATGGAGTGCTCCGACGCATGGCCTCAGCTCGCTTAAACTACATTACTCTATATGCTATCTTTAGGTAAAGGCAGATCTAGCTTGGACTGAGGTCAGCGCCTCCAAGCGTTCAAACTGATATGCTCGCTGCAGTTAGTGAACGATGGAGCGCGCGTCGGTTCCACTAGTAAATTTCTGTTTCCAGTCTGCTTAGCCGGCAGGTCGAATGAATTCACTTCGAATATCGTTTTCGCCACGTTGTGCTTGCGCCTACGTTATCACGTGTGCACATGGCATTCGTTGTCACATACTTATCTCGACAATCAACAAATCGCGTGTGATAGCTTTCGCACCTTTCCAGTTTTAGTTTTCAGTTGATGCCCAGAGGAAATCACATGTATAAAAAGCAGCGAAAATGCACGTTCATGGCGTTTCTAAAGGTTGATTTGATTCGATTGATTGATATGTGGAGTTTAACGTCACAAAACCTCCATATGATTATGAGAGACGCCGTTGTGGAGGGCTCCAGAAATTTCGACCACGTGGGCTTTTTTAACATGCTCCGAAATCTGTTTGTGAAATTGTACAGGAAATAAATCTGAAATGGTGTGGCATTGTTCATGCACCACGAATTGAACTGTTCTCGCACTTAAGAGTGTGCCTTCCTGCTGGGTTTATGCTGCACGGAAGATGGGGTTTTGGAGAGCAATGTTTACGCGTGTTCTCAGTAAAAAGGACGCGTGGATACAACGCAAACAAAGCAATTTTCGTGCGTTGTTATTGCATAAAAGCTCAAAACTTCATCGTGTAATCAAATTGTTCTGACACGTTAAACCCCACATATTGTTACGCGCACAAATATTGCACTCCAAGACCACATCTTCCGTGCAGCGTAAACCGAGCACGAAGGCACAATCTAAATTGGGGGGACAGTTGAATTCACGTTGTCTGAGAATTATTGAATCAGAACATGAACAATGCCACTGCATTTCAGATGTATCGCGCAACTTTTACAAGCGCCATGAACATCCGTTTTCTCTTCTTTTTATACATGCGATTTCCTCCGCGCATCAGCTGAGAACTGATGGAATGATATGTGCGGTTTAACGTCTTAAAACCACCATATGATTATGAGAGACGCCGTAGTGGACGGCTCCGGAAATTTCGACCACCTGAGGTTCTTTAACGTGCACCCAAATCTGAGCACACGGGCCTACAACATTTCCGCCTCCATCGGAAACGCAGCCGAGAGAATTGAAACTGGAAAGGTGCGTAAGCTGTCGCACGCAATTGGGAATTGTCGAGATAAGTATATACGACAACTAATGGCATGGGCACGAGCAATAACGTGAGCACGAGCGAAACGTGGCGAAAACGGGAGGCGAATTGAGTGCATCCATGACGTGCACCACATGTACCATGTGATAGATACACTTGTTCGTCGTCTGCTAGCCGCATTTTCGTCTGCTAAGCCTATGGATCCTGCATTTGAAGTCATTTCTTTCTTTGCAGTTTTCTCTAGTAAATAGTTGAAATGTAAACAGTTTTATAGTCACTTTTGCATTCACGCGCCAATTTTTAATCGGGATGGACCCTGAAATGCAGAATGCATCAGCATAGCAGACAAAAATGTGCCTAGCACACGCTGAGCATGCGTATCAATGACGTGGCGCACGTGGTGGTAGGAGTATCGCAAAACACACGGTGCGCATGCGCAATGTTTCCGACGATGGATGTTACGCGGCGCTAATAGTTCTGTTGGCCACGCGCTCACTTGTACGCTCTTACTGGGCTCGCCGTCGTACGCGTACAGTAAGCGTCTGGTATGCAAACTAATCTTGCTGTCTGAGTACCACACGCTTTTGGTTTCACGTCACCGAATCGAATCCTATTTATTCTGTCGACTACTGAGCTCGCATTGAATGCGTAATGATGTTATAAAGCACGAGTTTTTTTTTGTTCTTTCACGCCTTTCGTTTTGCTTCTTAAGGCCGGTGCACACGGGCGACTGGCAGGGGTCGCACGACCATTTGCGACTGGCGACCAAAAAGCGACTGATGTTCACGCCGGCAGAGGCTGCATGCTAGCGAGCGGAAGTCGCAAAACCGGAGAGTCACGTCCGGATCTCGTTATCAGCGAGAACTCTGGAGACCGGCGCCAATTAACTGATCGCCGCCAGCTGAGTGGGCGGAGCAAACCGAGCGTGCTGCATTTCTGGTTTTTATCCGTTCAGCGCAATAAAAAAACAAACGACGAAAATTGAGCATCGCTGATTGGTTCCAGCAGCTTTGCGACCGCCGTCGTGCGACTGAAAAATCGGTGAGGAAGTGACTAGCCAAAGCAGTCGCTTTGCGACCGTTCGCGACTATTTGCGACCATTCGCAAATAGTCGCGCGACCGCTGCTAGTCGCCGGTGTGCACCAGCCTTTACTACAGCACTTTCCTTTAGTATTTGAGCATGTTGCACTGTGTTTTGAATGGCTTTGAGATCTCTAATCGTTACTGTTTTGATTCAGTAAGCCTTTAGAAGCTTGCTCCTTTTGCTGGCGGCTTGTCGTACGGCGACTGCAGGCGTGTACACCAGTGTTGCCAGTATGTACACTTTTGTGGGCGCCTCTCAAAGTCACCTCTCCAGTGATTCATACAATGCTCACAGATGGCGCGTTGCCACCCAAGGCATTTGTTTTTGATGACCCGCACCCTCGCCTCCTCGATGTGGCTTTAAAAGAAAGGGAAGGGATGAGAAAGGCGTGTCTACGCTCTAGTGTGACGTCGTAACTGTCTCTCTCAGGTCATCTCAACAATGCCGCACGAAGGATGGGTAGTGGTTGAGAGAAAGGAATGTGAGAAAGAGAGGAAAAGAAAAGGGGGTCAGTGGTGTTTCGTCTGGCCACGCACAGAATAATAACGCGCTGGTCCTTGCGATCCTTTCGTCAGTGTTTCCGTGTCTTCCTGTGTGTGCGGCGCTAAAGTTTCAATGTGTTGTTCTCATCGCTTTGTCGGCCCGGCAGAATGCGACAAGTTTCTACGTTGAGAATTACGCGCGGGTACAGATATCCTCCCAAGCCCCTTCACCTGCCTGCTCTCAATCCCGCTGCAGAACACCTGATAACTCCACGTCTGCCATTTATGAGCGTAAGGCATTTGACTCACGGCAGCAGCCAGTATGGTATGAAGGAGCAGGTGTTTAACGAGCCGATCGACGTGGCCAACACTGTGCATTGCCGGCCGCGGAACGTGGCCAACAACGCTGCCATCGACGTACACACCATGCGCCGGCTCGTTAACAAGCCTTCCTACAGAAACGGTCTCGCCAAGAAACGTACCGTGCACCTCCGAGCAAGCTCCTCTAGCATCATTCACTTTGTGGTTATGGCGGTTATTTTTTGTGCCTGTAAACGGATTTGGGCCTTTTGACAATAGGTGGTGTACTGAAATGCTGATATGCTTCATTAATTTCTTCACGGGGACGCTGCCCGACCTAGGAAGCTTACAGAGACCTGGAGGCGCAGCCAGACTTCTTTCAAGTGTAAAGTACCTACACTTACCCCCTCCCTTCCCAATGTATGGTGGAGCCCATGTTTGTATTTGTGCGTGTGTGCAGCCTGTGCAAAATTGTAAATATTCGGAGAAACTTGAACCCTCCAAGCCCTCTACCCCTTCCCCGACTATGCCTGTGAAGGAGCCCTGTAGGCAATTAAAAACTTTCTACGCATCGCTCAATGGTGCAAGGTTGCAATAATTCTATTTATTTGGTTCATTAGTCGAATAAATTTCTCGGCTAGTACGAAAACCAGAGCAACAGCGGAGCGACATGTACCTGCGTGAGTGGGTTGGAACATTTCACCCCGTCCACCTTACACACGCCGTTCTCTTTTTACTCTGCAGTGGACTCATAATTGGTGTGCACGGCACTGTTGCATAAAAAACATAAATAATTACCCAAACAAAATTAAAAAACCGCAGCCCCTACAGCTCTCCAACAAAACATTTAAAAATTACCTTTGATTGCAACCACAGCTGCACAGAGATAGACACGGAGAACTGAAGCATCGTAATCAAAATGCGTAAGCGAGTTCATCTGTTTCGCTGCAGCGAAAATTGAAAAATTACGGCACAGAAGCAGGGGGGGGGGAGGGGGAGTGGTTAAACCTCCCTGGTTATGCTGATGGTACCTCATTCAAATAATTGGAGGAACGGTCGGCGGATATCCCTGATTTAGAAAAGCGCTTTTCTGGCGACAAGCATAATCCTGTAATAAAGCGCTTTTCTGGTGATAAGCATAATACTGTATTAAAGAGGCTCACAAATTATAGGGTAATCAATCCAGCCCCTACAATTCACAACACTTCGAACACACTAGCACGCACGCAAACAAAACGATCAGATACAGCGCTTTCCTGCAACGAACTAGACAGACTACTCATCTCGTATAATTCAAAATAATCGCGGAAGAAAGAAGCAACAGCTGCAATCACTGGCTTCAATTCGCTACTTTGCGCCCAGTCAACGAAAGTATTATAACTCACCGGAAAGTAGTTTGGTCCGGGTGTATAGCTCGATTGCAAGGGATACGCGCTGAAGTGCTGCACCGAGCTAGAATGTGGGCCGCCCCTCCTCGGTGACACTGGCATATGTTTCACGGCTACGTCGCTAGTGTCCGCAAGAATGCTGTCGAGGGGACATCACGTGACATCATTTTGATGTAGGTCCGCCATTCAGCGAGGATGACGTCACAAACACGCGAGCAACACCGAGACTGCAGAGGCACTGCGTGCCGATAAAGATAAACGCCGGTTGGCCGATTGAGTGGAAGCGAAAAGCTTTCAGAACTCATTGCCAGCTGCTACGCCCTGTATATGGCATGAATTCCAAAGCAGTTACACCACACGGTGAGCTGTTGCCCGAGAAGGATGTTTACGTCGCAGAATAGTTTGATACATGAGCATTGTCGGTGTGATCGAGGCTGCACGTGTGACAACGCACGTATTATCCGTGGTTGCGGCAAGTTACGCAAGAACCGCCTGCATGTGCAGCGCCTGCCTGTATCAGTATAGGCACGCATGCGTCGCCCCTTTGCGACAGCGATGAGAAACGCCGCGATTCTTGCTCTCGTAGCCGGCGCGTGAATGGTGATTACAGTTGTCGTTTCACACGATTACTACGAGCCTTAATAGGCACAACTTGACTTTTGATAGCAGAAACCCCAGGCAGCTGCCAGTTTTAACTGTGTGTCGGCGAGCAAATCGTGTATCGATTTGCACCCGTTTGTTTGTCTGTTGCTTTGCACCGTTTTAACGCGATAGCGTTAAGAAGCTTGTTTCAGGAAAATTCTGGCGTCGGCGTCGTTGGTTGTGAGCGAAAAAACCACGATCTTGAGCTTGACCAAACGTAGGGAAAGATGCAAATAAAATAAAAATAATAAATGCTAGGTCCGTATGGGGATCAACCCTATAGGTCGTTTGCGTGGCGAGCGGGTGTTATACCACACAGCTACACATCTGCTTGTTTTCCTTACATGGTATTTATTAAAGATGTGGTTTACGTATATGAATAGCGTAAACATACTCGGGGCCGCTTTGATAACTTAAAAATAGCCATTACAAAACAAAACCTATACAACGCTGTGTCTAAAAGGGTATTTGAGCGGTACACTTCATGAACTCTGGATACCAGTCCGGCTAAAACTGCAGTTGTTCACAAAAGTCCTCTAGCTGCACACAGTGATTTGCACGAAGTGTTATCGCGAAGACAGCATTGGTTCTGCATGCCTGTCTAACATTCGAGTTTTCCCTAAACTATGCATGCCCATTAACAAAGCATGTGAAATGGCATATCGTGATATCTGGGTGATACAACGTAACGTATGGTATGACATCTCAAACCCAGCGGTGTTTTTAAGAGCCCTCCGCATAACGTACCATAAGAGGATGGCGTCCTTACAATTATTAGAAATGTTCTATTGTTTCTTGACTTTAATAGAGGCGGCATTTGATTCAGGATACAAGGATACCTATGGTGTTTAACCAGGCTTTTACGTGTATTGTTTCTGTATGCCCTTCATAGAAAATTGTCTTGGTTATTGGTGAAATAGGCGTTTTACATCACACGTAATAGCACGACATGACCAGACTATCCAAGATATTGCCACGTTCCATTTCTCAAGTATTCTTATCGCCCCAAAACACTACACAATTCTCAGCGCAAACCACGCCTGCAGTTTTTGAGAAGCTTCCAGACTTTAGTAGATCATTTCGATGAGATCACGCCCACTCTGTGAACTGTACAGATTATTCTGGAGCCTACGCCCCCGCCAGCGATAACGCTAGAACATTCGATTGGCAAGAGTATAAATGCCGACGCACTTCGCTGCTCTTGAGTAGTTGATCGGCGGCCGACGCTCCATTCACTGCTATCTGTGCAAGACTGCCACTGTAATCAAACTTTCCGTTTACCGGGCACAGGTTAGCCTAAATAAACAGTTAAATCCCAACACAAAGTATCCTGTCTGCGGCCACATCACGACCTCGTGACATCTGGTGGAGGTGCTGCTTCGTTCATGTACCGGACGCCCCCGTCAAGCCGTGAACCCAGCCCACGTCGCGGAGAAGACACCGACGCCAACCAAGAGCAGCGAACAAGCCGCCGACAGCAAGGTCTCCCACCGGAGTACGGGCTTCTACAAGACAAGGCGCGGAAGACCAAGGCCATGACCTCAACTGCCGCGACAATGACAACAACAGCGCCTAAGCCCGCGATCGTCATTCATCAACACAGGGAACCACCAACGTTTCATGGGTCATCGTTTGAAGACCCGGAAACCTGGCTAGAAACATACGACCATGTGGCTGCCCTCAACCACTGGGACAATTAAGAAAAGCTCCATCGTGTGTACTTCTACTTGGAAGACACCGCAAGGACCTGGCTCGAGAATCGGGAGTCCACGTTCCGAACGTGGGATGTCTTCTGCGGCGCATTCCCGCAAACGTTCGCGAGCGTCGCTCGCAAAGAGAGGTCCGCTGCTCTATTAGAGACCTGAGTTCAGCTACCAAATGAAATGTTGCCATTTTCACTGAACAGATGACCCGCCTATTTCGTCACGCTGACCCAGGCATGCCTGAGGAGAAGAAAGTTCATTTCCTCATGCGAGGGGTCAAACAGGAACTCTTCGCGGGACTTATGAGGAATCCCCTGGACACCGTCCAAGAATTTGTATCCGAGGCGACCACTACCGAAAAAACCCTGGACATGCGCACCAGACAGTATAATCCTCGCCTGAGTCCAGAATGCGCTGCTGCTCAAGCCAGTTACTCCGAAGACCTGCGTGAAACAATCCGAGCGATCGTGCGGGAAGAGCTGCGCAAGCTGTTGCCTTCGGCGCAGCCTCAAATTGATTCAATCACCGACATTGTGCGAGAAGTTCAGAAATCGCTTCGAATTCCCCAAACACCGCTGCCCGAGCCAGAAACTATGAGCTACGCCGCTGCAGTGCGCCACAACGCTCCTCCCCGTCCACGCCAAAACGCCGCCCCGTCGCACTTCCGTCACCAGACGCCACCAACCCCGCCAACGTCCTACCGTTCGCCAGCGGGCCAGCGCAGTGCGCCGAGGAAAACGGACGTTTGGCGCGCACCTGACAACCGCCCGCTCTGCTACCACTGCGGCGAAGCCGGACACATATACCGCCGTTGCCAGTACCGACAGATGGGACTGCGTGGCTTCGCCGTCAATGCACCGCGTCCGCAGCCAGGAGAACGGCCACGTGACATCGCCGACTACCTGACAGGAACTCAATGGACACCACGAAGTCCTTCCCGTTCGCCGTCGCCCAGCCGCCGCATGTCACTGCACCCCCGGCAGTATTCTGGCCCAACGCGGGGCCGGTCTCCTAGCCCGTATCCGGCACACTAAGGGCAGCAACCGATGGAGGTGCGGTTGCTGTGCGACGAACTACCGAAGATCCGACGACGACGACGACGACGGCGCGACGGAGCTTTCCAAACACAACGCCAACCAGGCAAAGCCCTGACGGTGAAAGCTCACTTACCAAAGGTGGCCTGACGACGCAACATGGAAGCAGCGGAACGAGCCGACGCAGCCGTGACCCGACGCCACGTCCTAACTGTAATGCGAGACGGCGAACTAGCGACCTCGACGTTCTTATCGACGGCCACAGTATGACCGCTCTCGTCGATACTGGAGCCGACTATTCCGTCATGAGTGGGTCATTCGCCGCAAAGTTAAAGAAAGTTAGGACAGCTTGGGAAGGTCCTGAAATGCGCACAGCTGGAGGTCATCTCGTAACGCCTGCAGGAATCTGCACAGCGAGAGTCACCATTAACGGCCGTATTTATCCTACAGACTCCATAGTCCTACAGCGTTGCTCGAGAGATGTCATCCTTGGTATGGACTTCTTATGCCTCCATGGTGCTGTCATCAACCTAAGAACAAAGTCGATAACGTTATCCCCAGAAGAAGCACTACCGCCACGCACGCCGTCAGGAAACCATGCTTTGAATTTGCTGGAAGAACAAGTCACCATTCCGCCTTGCTCCAGCGTCATTATTTCAGTCGGCGCTCCTAAATCACCTGACTTGGAAGGCGTCGTTGAAGGCAGTCAGCATCTATTGGTCACCCGAAATATTTGCGTCGCAAGAGAAATTGCAGAGCTGCGTGGAGGCAAAGCAATGGTTATGCTCACGAACTTCAGCAATGAGTACAAACATGTGAACAAAGGAACAACGGTCGCATACATCGAAGAAATTGTGGACGCCATCAGTGCTTTCGCCCTCGCCGATTCTGCGGAACCTGCTCAGAGGAACCAAGGCCCTCCCACAGCTTTCGACGTCAATCCCAGACTTCCGAACCATAAGCAAGAACAGCTCAAAGCCCTGCTGCTGCAATACGGAGATGGCTTTTCATCGTCATCAAAAATTCGGCGGACCCCAGTCACGAAACTTCGCATCATAACCGAAGAAAATGCCAGACCACTCCGTCAGAGTCCGTACAGGGTTTCGACGCGAGAACGTGAGGCCATGAAGAGACAAGTTAATGAAATGCTGCGGGATGACATCATCCAGCCGTCCAAGAGCCCATGGGCGTCCCCCGTGGTGTTAGTGAAGAAAAATAATGGTACCCTACGTTTCTGCGTCGATTATCGCCGCCTGCACAAAATCACAAGAAAGGACGTGTATCCTCTCCCACGAATAGACGACGCAATTGATCGGCTCCGTAACGCCAAGTGCTTTTCGTCAATGGACCTCAAGACTGGTTATAGGCAAATCGAAGTCGACGAAAGAGACCGAGAGAATACGGCGTTTATAACACCGGACGGCCTCTTCGAGTGTAAGGTGATGCCCTTCGGCCTTTGCTCAGCGCCTGCAACTTTTCAACGCGTTATGGATACAGTGCTGACAGGATTGAAGGGGCAGACTTGCCTTGTGTACTGGGACGACGTCGTCGTATTTTCCTCGAGTTTTGACGAGCATCTTCGGCGCCTTGAAGTTGTATTTCAAGCCATCAAGACATCCGGGCTCACACTGAAGCCAGAAAAGTGCAGATCTGCGTACGAGGAGCTCTTGTTTCTGGGACACGTGATTAGCAATTCTGGAGTTCATCCCTATCCACGGAAAACAGCCGCCATCGCCGACTTCCCACCGCCCACTGACAAG